CAAGCTTAATGAACTATTTCAAAGTTCTAAACTCCAAACTGACGCCGAACACATCTAAACAACTCGAAATCACCTTAAATTCCGCACACAAGTTTCAAATGATATAATGAACCTATTTTAACTGTCGAAACCACAATCCAAACCAGATAACATCGAAATCAACTCCCGATCAAACCTATGAACTTTCCACATCTTCAAGACTTTCGCCAATTAGAGCCAAAACCTTCTAGAAACATCCAAATGCAAATACGAGCATATACCCAAGTCCTAAATCACCATCCGGACCTAATAGAACCTTCAAAACTCTAATCCAAGTTCATATGAAAAAAGTCAAACTCGGTTAACTCTTTCAACTTAAAGCTTCCTAGTTTAGAATCATTCTTCCAAACCAATCTCGAACCATTCAAAAAACACAATCAGCGATACATGTACGTCTTAATACACCATAAGAAGCTACGCATGAGCTAAAACTAACAAACCGAATTCAAATGCTCAAAACGACTAGTGGGGTCGTTACATTCTCCCCTACTTAAACATACGTTCGTCCTCGAACGTTCCGAGAGTCATTCTAAAGCCATCAATTCACGGTATAACCACACCATAAATCTTCAAGAACCAGGTTCATCTCCTCAATCTGGACTACTCCACTTGGCTTACTAGCCTTTTTTTTCTTTCTAAGTGACTTTCTTGGAACTCTCACCTAAGGCCCTTTTTACATTGGCCTCGCTCTGCTTCTTCTTGCTCCTTGTAGTTCTTCCTCTTGTGGGAGGAGTTGCTACAGGGATAGAAGGAGCACTCTTTCTCTTAGTGTCACTTATTCTCTTTCCTGCAGTCTTTCCAACTTTGCTCTTCTTCTTTTTATTATAACTACCTGATACATTTTGTTGTAGATCGGGGCTCTTCTCTATTTTAGCAAGAGAAGGAACTAGTTCATAAAACCATTTCCTTAACCTAACATGCCCATTCGTTGCACTTGTATCACCATGAACAATCACCTATATCTTGTGATTTTATCCCCACACTTTTATTCATAGTCTCCTCATTATCACTAATCTCTTCACTCTAGACCACCATTGCACTTGTCTCCTCATGTAATCCATACCTAATGGGTGAATCAAATCCAATCACTTGTTGTTCCACCCTTCCCCTCGCATCAGCCTCAACACCCTCACTCTCTTTTTATTTTTATTTTTCATTTTTACCACCAATGTCTTCAGTAACAACATTTCCCTTTTCAATAACAGCCATAGACCCAACCAAAAAAAATTGATTCTCAAGATTTTCTGCAATTTCAGAACCATCTTAGAGGTGGGAAACTTTGAGGTTTACCTGTTAAATTTCAGAAGAAATTGGTTCTCCCCCCTTAGTCGCAGACCATAAATAGTAATCAGAATTTTGTGGTTCATCTGCTTGACTGGCTTGTAGCTTCTACTTCAATTTCTTGGCTTGTTCTTTACTTGCTACTATTTTATGTGCAATCATTTTGATATGCTTTTTCTTGGGGGTTTGGGTGTTTGAAAATGTGGGTGAAGGTTCATTAGGTGGTGAGGATGGGTTTTCAGAGTTTTTGGGATTCTCATGGGTGTTTTCCATTTGATCAGTCCAGAAATTTGAGAGAAATGGAGAGAATTTTGAGGTTTTGGAGATTTTGATCTTTCGAAAAAGTTGGGTAAGGTCAGATCAATTTAAAGAGGGAAAAGGTTGTGTGTGTAACAACAACTTTGGGAGGTTAGAAGTCTTTTCATCTTGGGAGTTTCATTTTGAAGAGATGTCGGACTCTTCCCTAATAATTTTGGCAATTATGGCGCGTGGGTTTGGGGATAAAAGTAAATCTTTTGTAACTGATTGGTTCAAACAGAGTTTGGATAAAGTGAGACTCTTTTCATATCATGATTCATATGCAGTTATTTCAAATTATGCGGAGTGTAGAATACATACCTTGTAAGCTCAATGAACCAGGTTGTTCACTAAAAGTTCTCTTGTATAAGGCTGATTTTTTCCAAGAAAATAAGAGTAATATCATTAGACATTAGCGAGACATTTTATCACATGACACAAGAGTATACCAATAAGAGTATGAGACTGAGAAATGTCTAATCTAATTATTTATTAAACTCACATATTATCTAATCACTCATTGAGTTAGAACTGGTATCTTTTAGGTGATCTTAATCATCCCTAATTGTAACTTGTTCCTTTAAAAGTGATCCCTACTCAAAGCTTTTGTAAATATGTAAGGTATTCGCATATCAGTAGTATAAAATTCCACAGTGATCAATACCTTTTCAAAATTATTCCTTAGAAAATCATGCCTAACACCTATGTGCTTAGTTCTTTTGTAATGGATCGGGTTCTTGGGCATACTGATTGCACCCGTATTGTCACAAAAAAAAGGGATACATCCTACATCAATTTCAAAATTAATTAATTGTTATTTAATTCACAATAATTTGGCACAACATGAGGCAATAACCACATACTCAGCTTCAGCAATGGACAAATCCATAGAGTTTTGCTTTTTGGTTGCCCAAGACACAAGACATGAGCCAAGAAAGTGTGTTATACCTGAAGTGTTTTTTCTATCCACAAGAAAACCTTCATAATAATCATCAGCATATCCCACTAAATAAAATTTACTACCTTTTGGATACCATAGGCAAAGATCTGTAGTGCCTTTTAGTTATCTCAAGATCCTCTTGACAGCCTTCAAGTGAAACTCCTTTGGATTTTCCTGAAATCTAGCACAAAGGCCTATATTAAAAACAATGTCAGGTCTACTAGCAGTGAGATATCATAAAGAGCCAATCATTCCCCTATATATTTTCTGATCAACAGATGAACCAGGTTCATAAAATCAATTTTTATGGCTGTTACTATAGGAGTGTCAATTTCTTTGGATGTTCTTTCCTGGTTTTGTCGCTGAGGAACAGGTTTATTGATAGGTTCTCTCGAGCATTGAGGATCAGTTCCTCTTTGGTCATTTCCCCCTGTTAAGTTGCCCTGGGTGGAAGGACCTGGTCCATCACATGTTCCTTCTTGTGATGCAGCTTCAGGCTGGACTATAGCTTCATCATGTGAATTTCTTATTAGCCCAATCTCTTCACCATCTTGTTCTTGCCTCTTAGAAAGAATATTAGTTTCATCAAAGACAACATGCACACATTATTTTACATACATAGTTCCTTTATTGTAATCTTCTAGGCTTTCCCATGTGAAGAACATCTTAAGAATACTCCCTCATCACTTCTAGGATCAAATTTTCCTAGGGAGACTTTTCCATTTTTATGCACAAATCACTTGCATCCAAAAGCCCTTAGATAGGATACATTTGGATTTCTCCCTTTAAGTAATTCATGTCTTATCAACAAGAGGTCTAGTCATGCCCCTATTTATGATATTGCATGCAATGTTTACTGCTTCTGCCCAGAAGCTATGAGGCAATTTACTAGCAAGTAGTATAGTCCTAGCCATTTCTTCCAGAGTCCTATTCTTTCTTTCAACTATCTCATTTTGTTGTGGAGTTCTAGTAGCAGAAAAATTATGATCTATGCCATGCTCATCACAAAATTCAAAAAAATTGGCATTCTCAAACTCAGTACTATGATCAGACCTAATAGAAGTTGATTAACTAGTTGTTTCTGATTTTTTCTAACAAATGAAGTGAACATATCAAATTCTTCATCTTTAGATGTTAAGAAAATAGTCCAAGTAAACATAGAGTAATCATCATCAAGCACCATAACATATCTCTTACCACCTCTGCTCGCTGTCCTCATTGGTCCACACAGATCCATATGGACCAATTCCATTGACCTGGTAGTACTTATCATTTTCTTACTTTTAAAAGAGGATCTTACCTGCTTCCCTCTTGCACAAGCCTCATAAATTTTATCTTCCTTGAACTTAATATTAGGCAGCCTTATCACCAAGTCCTTGGAGACTAGTTTGTTGAGTTGAGTTAACTTGTATGTCCAAGTCTCTTATGCCAAAGGAGGGGATCATTGTCCAACACATTAAGCAATTGAATTCATTATCTGACAGTGTGGCAGATCCACCACATATATGTTACTCACTATTTTTCCCTTCAAAACTATCATGTTAGTGGTAAGATTTATCACAAAGCTTTTTGTAGAGGTAAAAACAACCACGTTTTCTCTATCACACAGTTGTGATATACTTATCTAGATGTATTTCAATCCATATATCAGGTAGACATTCTCAATAGAGTGAAAATAAGATTTACCTACCTTTTCAACCCCAATGATCTCACCTTTCTTTCCATTTCCGAATGAGACATTACCTTCTTTAAGGTCCTCAAGTGAAAGAAAATGGTTCTTGCTTCCTATCATATGCTTTGAGTAGCCATTATCCATGTATAATAGTTGGCTGCTCTCCTTCACTTAGACCTTCAAAAGGAAATCACGGGTTAGTCTTAGGAACCCAAACTAGTTTAGGTCCCTTTCTATAGGTAAAAGGATAAATGAAATTCTTTTTAGCCCAACTTGGCAGCCTATTTTTTCCTTGAATAAAATTTTTGTTCTTTTGACTTGCCTTTTCTTTTGCAGTGCATTCACTCTTATAGTGACCAGTGTTACCACAGTGTGTATAAATTTTCTTCTCAGGGAGTGTGAGGTATATTTTCTTTTGGGATTCCATTTAGGTGAAAAGTTCCCAAAGCCAAGTCCACTTCTCTTGCTACTATGATGTTCTTGTAGCCATTAAAGTGCATCAGAGGACTTATTCTATTTACTTGTTATATCTAGTTCATGCTTAACCTGAGTCAAGTCCTCTTTCAAGGTTCTTACCAGTTCATATCTTTTATATAGCTCATATTTTACCTTTCCTAGATCCTTTTCTAGTGAGAGTTGTGTATCACAAGCTATTTTTTTACTTTCTCCTAACTTCAATTTTAGATTTTCAGATCTAAGTTCTAGAACAGATGTGTGAAGTGCATGAACCTGGTTCTTCAATGCCATATTTTTTTTTCAGTTTCACAAGCCCTAAGTTCCAGGTTTTCGCACTTCGCTTTCAAAATGGAACAATCCTTTGACAACTATTTTTTTTTCTGAACTTATATCCTTAGATTTATCAATTAAAGTTAGCAACAGTTCTGATAGTCTATCTTTAGAAAGAAATTTAATTTTATCCTTTAGGTCTAGAAAACTTATCTCAGATTCTTCATCTGATTCATCTTCAGATTTTTTAATTGCTATAAGAGCTTGTTCAGCATCATCATCATCATCACCATCATCATCATCGTCATCAATGTCCTCATCTGAACTGTCTTCCTAAGCAGCAACTATTGCTTTGGATGGCCCTTTGTTGTATTTCTTCTTATCATGAACCTGTTCCTTTTTTCTGTTTCTTCTTTTAGATCTCTTCTTTTTTCACTCGACTTCCCTCATAGCATAGTTCTTGATCATGTGATTCTTTTTACTAAATTTGAAGCATCCATCAGTTATCTACAAGTGATCTCTTCTCCTCGTCTTCATCAAAGAATAGTAGTGATCATTGGATAATGGTGGCCTAATCGTGGATTGATCGTTACGGTTTTCAGATACTGCACTCATATTGATCATTTCCTAAGGTGTTAGCCTCTTTAAGAATAACCCGCTCTGATACCAATTGATATTTTATAATTCAGTACCACACAAGAGGAGGGTATGATTTCTGTGATGTCCAATTTTGGCGTACATTAGATTATGAAAGGACCTGGTTCTTTTATGTGTTCCTTACACTACTGTTGCGGAATAAATAATACATAAAGTAAAGAACACAAGGATTTTTACGTGAAATTTTTCCCGGCTCAAAAGGAAAAAACACCACGACCTACTAACGATTAGATTTTCCCCATACACTTCACTACAACTCTGAGCCAACAATAAAGTTTAAAAACTCTTGCAAACCTAAGGATTACCTATAACCCTTGTAGCAACCAGCTACAAGCTGTTGCGACTACTTCAAGTTAACTCTAACTTGAACAATATAACTCGAGTTTACAACCTCTTTCAAACCTAAGGATTAACTCTAAACACTGTAGAAATACGCCACAGACTGTTGCGATTACTTCAAGTTAACTCTAACTTGAATAATACAAGTCAGGTACCTAGTACAATTTGCTTCTAAGAAAGCTTAAAGGTACAACTGAAAATGCCTACTACACTTTAAACTAGAAATAAAGAAAGATACATATAAATCTTTATGGAACTGGTTCTTCAATCTGGTTCGTGTAGATTGAGGATCACACTCTTGAATCTCACAGGAATTGCTCAGAAAATGCCTTGCTATTTTGCTCTTAATTCGTGCTTTCACTTCTGTATTTGTGTGTCACCTGTAAAAGAGAACAGAACTGATATATATAGAGTTAGTAGAATAAGGATTAACTAGAGTTCTAATGCTTTACTCTTCCTTGGCAGCAGAGTTCTAGTCAACTTCAACTTCTAACCCTTCCCTTACTTGGATAGAGTTCTCTTAACTAAGGAGTCATGTTCCTTATGAATTATGCAACATTTTTGTCAAGTGATTATCAGAAATAACCACTTATACTTATCCCTTTCACGTGCATGCCTTTTGCTTGATTTTGTCTGTCAGTTGTGTACACTATCTATGGACCTGGTTCATGCATGTGTTCCTTTGTCAATCATCAATTCAAATCGCTTAGGTCAAAAATGTCTTAGTAGCTTTTCTTGCTCCGCATATTTTACAAACTCTTTGCTTTTGAGAAGTCTTTTCTCTCTTAATGAAGAAGAAAGATAAAATATTAATACAATTTGATCCAATTACTTCGAGATTAAAATGCGAAATGAACAAGCCAAGTTTCAGTCTTTGAACATCAATTAAGTTATCGAGAAAACAAAGCTTATTATAAAGGCCTGCTTGCACTGTCATGTGGACTTTGGGTTTATTTCGTGCAGCCTATTAAAGCAATTCAATGAATATCCAAGAATTTTTTTCATATTTGGGTCAAAGAAGGCTTGGGGAAGTTAACCTTTTCACTTTCTAGAAATTAAAGTTGCGGATATCAGAAACTTTGTGGATTTTCTCTTTTTATTCTACATTGAACCAAGGTTTGGATGTCTCCAAAAGGGTAAGATTTCTTGTTTGAATTCTCTCTCTCTTATGTCCGATTGGGTTGTTTGTTAGAGAATTGAACAATGATCTGAGTTTCAATACTTGAGTTTTAAGTTCTTGTATTTCAATCAAAACCTCTTTCTATGATTTAAAGTGTTCTGTTGTCCGTACTAGTATCAGTAATTAAAATTCATTTGCAATATAAGTCTTTCTGGTATTGTTTTGACGTTAAAAATCACGAAACCATTTATAAATTTAAAATATTTTCACACGTTAATGACTTGAAATTCCCAACCTCGCTCGCACTGAACATCCATGATAGAAAACAAACATTTTGACCGCTACAAATATGAGACATGCATACAACAAAATGAGTTTAATAACTTTAATTATCCATTATTTGTAAAGATGGTTGGGAAGTCGAGGCTCCATCATCACCTCGAGTGCGACTTTGGGGTGTGTAGTTAGCCCATAAATCTCATCCATGCTAATGTCTTCTGGACTCATACCATTAGGCAATCTCCAGTTGAATCCATGCAACAAGTTAGCTAAAGTTGCCCTAATTATACGAATCCCAAGACTGTATCCTGGGCACTTTCTCCGGCCCGCACCAAATGGCAAGAGCGCAAAATGTTGTCCTGTGACATCTATATTCTTCCCTTCAAACCTCTCCGGAATGAATTCTTCTGGTGACTCCCAATGCTGTGAATTTCTTCCAATACTCCAAGTGTTCACCATTAAAATTGTACCTTTAGGTATGTCGTAGCCTGCGACATGACAATCCTCCAAGGCAATGCGCGGTGGAAGCATGGTGCTTACTGGGTGAAGCCTTAATGTTTCCTTGATGATTGACTCAATGTAAGGGAGTTGAGTGTAATCTTTTTCTTGAACCCATCTGTCCTGTGAAATGACAAGGTCTAGCTCTTGTTGTGCTTTCTTCATAATCTTAGGTTGTCTAAGAAGTTCATAAAAAGCCCATTCAACTGTTGTTGCTGAGGTGTCTGTGCCGCCAGCCAATAAGTCCTATCATCAATTTATAAACCAAAATATCAAAGAAAGCCAAAATATTATTTAATGGAGTACTCTAAGCACAAGATTTGACGAGAGATTTAATAAAGCCTATATATCGTATCGGAATCACATGTGATGAACAAAGAACATTGTTTCCAATTTCCTTAGAATTAAGAGAGAAGCGTCACAAAATTGGTTTTTTTTTCTTTTTTTTTCTTTTTTAGTTGATCTGCTTAAATTAGATTTGATGATTAACAAACAATGGTTGACAAACCATGTCCCTTAAAAGTATTTATTATTCTAATAAATAGGGTTGATGACTTGTCGAGCNCTAAATAGAAATTTTGTATTAAGTATATTATTTAATATACAACAGCACTTGTACGCATCTAGCCAACAAGTTATGATAAATTTTCCCCATCACAATTGGTTCAGGGTCAGGAACCAAATATTTTCATCTAGAAATATGGATGTACTATATGATTTAATTGTGCCACCACAATGCACAAAGATTGGTCCCCAAAGAAGGTTGGGGATATGTGTTGGTGGTCCCAACATTAAGGGGAGAAAATAAGCAGCTGAAAAAAAAGTAATACATGGAATGAATTATTATGAGTACATTAGATCCTCATACAAGAAAATATGAACTTGAAGTTCAAGTGATAATTCATTTGCAAAATATTTTCATGCGCATTTGCTGACCCAAACTAAATGTCATAATTCAACTACTAATGCTCCAAATAGAATAAAGTCCATGATGGACATAGTCTATGGAACTCTTGAAGCGTAATAGACTAATCGGTTCCAAAGATAAAACTCCTTGAAGAAGGAGAGGAGCAAATGTTCAAGATGGTCATAATAAGGAGGCAAGTGCTATATAAGAGCACCATGACATAACACTTCATAAGACCTCATGGGAGAGGCTCAGGTACCTGAAAATAGTGAGATCTCAATAAGTTACGTCTTTATTGACTGATGATGGAACCGACGTAAAATGATCGTCGACAATGTTGTTGATATAATGTGGCGCTCAATACTATTAATGTCGACGAGGATCTTGAACTCAAATCTGTCATGAAATTTGGACAGATAAATGATTGGCCAAATGAAAAATATGCAATGAAAATTGACTTCATCTGAAAAATATAAAGTTGGACGGATAGTTCCAACAGCTAAAAGTATAAAGGCTATATGGAGATATCGAAATACGATTAGTGTTATATTGCGAAAGGAATCTTTGATATAGATTTGTTTATTCTAACAATTATTGTCAAGGTTTTGTTGGTTATGGAAATTCAGACATTTTCTGAAATTCGTTCTTGAAACAATCTATTTGTATATGAGGGTAATGCCATATTGTGATATTCAACAAGATTCCAATAATAGTGAAGGTGATGATATTTGCTTATCTCAATTGAAAGAAGGATAAATTGAAAGAGACAGAATAAATCCTATATTTCATCGATGTTCTTTGTCAGACACAATCTTCAACAGAATGATGAAATAGATGTTCAAAAAATTCATTCAAGTGATAATTTGGCGGAATAATTCACCAAGGCATTGCCGGTCTCAGATTAGAGAAGTTGTTATACAAGCTTGGAATTTTTCGTCTCCGAATAAAGTGATGTTTTCATCAGGGGGAGGCAAATACGTGTTGTACTCTTTTTTCCTTGGCTAAGGTTTTATCCCACTGGGTTTTCCTTGCAAGGTTTTTAATGAGACAGCAAGTAATGCGTATTACAAGATATGTGTACTCTTTTTCCTTCACTAAGGTTTTTTTCCTACAAGGTTTTTTTTTCTTAGTAAGGTTTTAACGATGAACATTATACATGGACAACCAAGGGGGAGTGTTATAAATAATTATTTATTGGTGGATGTCCATAACTCATAAAAGAGTAATACCCACTACTCTTCTCCATTATCTCCATAACTCCCACTACTCCAATACTTATGGAGTTATGGTTATAACTCCCATACCTCCATAACCTCCCCATGATCTTCCTCCATGATCTAATATGCTTAATGTCATGTTTATGACATTCTTTTGTATACCTCTATGTAATACTATAAATAGAGGATGAAGTTATATTGTACACACTTGAAATATTTGAAAGAAATAGAAACTCTCCTCTCTTTCTCTCTATGTCTCTTATCTATTTTCTTGTTTTATGTTATTACTTTGAGCTTAGTTTCTTCAATTTTTTAATTTTTGAAAATATTTTTCAAAAGCTTTTCTAATTCACAATGGCGACTTTTACATGACCGCCCTTGGATAATCTCTCCTCCGTTGTCTATGTTTTTGCTCAATGTGGGGCCAAATCAAAACAAAAAAAACAAAAAAACAAAAAGCAATTAAAAAAGAGGAAGAAGATAACAACAAGTTGCAATGGCAACTTGTTGCAATAACGGCTGAACCAAGAACCAAGTTGCAACAAGTTGCCAAAACTTGTTTTGGCCGGTTACAAATTGCAAAGAAACCATTCTGATTGGTCCAATAGTTGGCAAGGTTTGTCATAAATAGCAGGCCTCGTTCCTCATTTCAGACACACCAAATCGAGAGAAGCAACAGAGAGTTAGAGAGAGTAATTCACAGATTGTAGTCTGTGAGATAAATAGTGAGTGAGAGTAATATTGTAGTGAGGTGTTTATAATAAAGAGTGTTATTTCTTTCGAAGTTGTAGTAGTCTCTTGACACTACTAAGTTGTAATATTATAGTGGTAATATTGCTCCGCTGGAGTATTGTATTTTATCCCGTTAAAATATTTGGTGTCATTGTTATTCTCTTGTGTTATTATTATTTGCCGTGGGTATTATTCCTGGGCGGAATATTATTTATTTTTTATCCCAACAATGTGGTATCAGAGCCATGGCGAGTAATGGTCCGTTGTCTTTTCAGTATCCCCATCTCACAAAAGATAATTATGAGAAATGGTATCTACGTATGAAAGTCATTCTTGGCTCCCAGGATGTGTGGGAAATCGTAGATAGAGGGTATGCAAAAATCGATAATGAGGAAGCTCTGCCTCAAAATGAAAAAGATGTTTTGGCAAAGACAAAGAAGAAGGATCAACAAGCCCTCACGCTCATCCACCAATGTTTGGATGATGCCATGTTTGAGAAGGTGGCAAATGCTACCACCTCAAAGGAAGCTTGGGAGATTTTACAAAATTCTCTTCAAGGAGTTGACAAGGTGAGGAAGGTAAAACTTCAAACTCTAAGGGCTGATTTTGAAGTTTTAAAAATGAAAGAATCCGAATGCATTTCGGATTATTGTTCAAAAGTGAAGGCTGTTGTGAATCAATTAAGAAGATACGGGGAGGACATAGAAGATGTCCGTGTGGTAGAAAAGATCCTTCGCACTTTAACACCTAAATTCGATTTTGTGGTGTGTGCTATTGAAGAGTCTAAAGATTTAGACTCAATGATGGTGGAGCAATTGGAGGGTTCTTTACAGGCCCATGAATAAAAGATCAAGAGGAGACAAGAAGTGCCATTGGAGCAACTTCTTAAAACTCAGGCATCCTTCAAGGATTATGGAGGTGAAAAAAGCTATCGAGGGAATGGACGAGGATGAGGCCGTGGCGGTCATGGACGAGGAAGAAGTAATGGTAACAACTTCAACAATGATGTTAAAATCCACCAAGCATTCAGAGGTCGTGCTCGTGGAAAAAGAGAAGGAAGAGGACGTGGCTACTACCAAGAAAATAGTGGACAAAGGTATGAAAAATCAAAAATTGAGTGTTCTAGTTGTCATAAATTTGTCCATTATTCTTGGGAATATCGTAGCAATGTTGAAGAGAAAGCTAACCTTGTTGACGACAAGAAAGAAGAAGGTGAGTCAACATTATTGCTGGCACTCAAGGAAGAAGATAGGTATGATTGCAGCTCGTGGTATTTGGACAATGGAGCAAGCAATCATATGTGTGGATGCAAAGAAAAGTTTGTGGAGATCAATAAAACGGTGAGAGGTAATGTGTCCTTTGGAGATACCTCAAAGATTCAAATCGAAGGGATAGGTACGATTCTGATCTCCTATAAAGATGGTAGTCACAAGCTAATTCACGATGTTTATTATGTGCCAAAATTAAAAAGTAATATTTTGAGTTTGGGCCACCTTCTTGAAAAGGAATATGACATCCACATGAAAAATATGCATCTTTGCCTTAGAGATTCAAGTGGAATTCTAATTGCTAAAGTGCATATGGCAAAGAATAGATTATTTTCTCTGAATCTTAAAACAATTGATGCAAAGTGTTTGAAGGCTAATGTGCAGGATGAATCATGGTATTGGCACATGCGATTTGGGCACTTGAATTTTGAAGCGCTCAAATCAATGGGAGAAAAGAACATAGTACATGGGATACCATCAATCAATCATCCAAATCAATTGTGTGAAGCTTGCGTTCTTGGAAAACATGCAAGGAGGAGTTTTCCAAAGGAGGCCATGTCAAGATCAACCAAGCCGCTCCAGCTTGTTCACACTGATGTGTGTGGACCAATCAATCCACCTTCTTTTGGTAAAAGTAGATACTTTATGCTTTTCATTGATGACTTTAGTAGAAAGACTTGGGTTTATTTCTTGAACCAAAAATCTGAAGCTTTCGCTGCTTTTAAAAATTTCAAAGTACTTCTGGAGAAAGAAAGTGGCTATGAAATTAAGCTCTAAGGTCCGATAGAGGAGGCGAATTCACTTCAAACGAATTTAATGACTTTTGTCAGTCTCATGGAATTCGCCGCCCTCTAACGGTACCTTATTCACCCCAACAAAATGGAGTTGCAGAGAGGAAGAATAGAACGATTCTTAATATGGCTTGATTCTTTTGCAGTTTATTTGAACAACAGGTCTCCAACAAGAAATGTTAGTGATCAAACCCCTCAAGAAGCATGGAGTGGAAGAAAGCCAAGTGTCAAACATTTGAGAATCTTTGGGGGCATAGCCTATGCTCATGTGCCACATCAAGGAAGATCAAAGCTTGACGATCGAAGTGTCAAGCATGTGTTTGTTGGCTATGATACGAGTTCAGAAGGCTACAAGTTATACAACCCAAGCAGCGGTAAGGTGGTGGTAAGTCGCAATGTTGAATTTGATGTAGAATTGGCATGGGATTGGGAAGCTCATGAAGAAACTTCATATGATTTTCTTCCATACTTTGGTGATGAAGAAGAACCAGAGACCGTGGAACCTGTGCAGGATATAACTCCACCTCCTTCTCCAACCAATGTTGCATCTCCCTCTTCTCAAGAAAGTTCAAATGAACAACCGCAAAGGACAAGGAGTATTCAAGAGCTCTATGAGGACACAGAAGAAGTTACTAATTTTGATTTTTTATGTTGTCTCTTTGCTGACAGTGAACCAATGAACTTTGATGAAGCTGTTACAAACAAAAAGTGGAGACAAGCCATGGAGGAGGAGATTGAGTCAATACAGAAGAACAACACTTGGGAGTAAACAACTCTTCCCAAGGGTCATCGAGCAATTGGAGTGAAATGGGTATACAAAATAAAGAAGAATGCTGATGGATATGTGGAGAAATACAAGGCACGACTTGTGGCTAAAGGCTACAAGCAAAGGCAAGGCATCGACTATGAAGAAGTCTATGCACCTGTTGCCCCATGGAGACGATTCGTTTGCTGATCTCTTTGGCGGAGCAAATGAAGTGGAAAATCCATCAACTAGATGTCAAGTCAGCCTTCTTGAATGGCTATCTTGAAGAAGAAGTCTATGTTGAACAACCATTGGGCTTCGTGGTCAAAAACCATGAAGATAAAGTGTTGCGGTTGAAGAAAGCTTTATATGGATTAAAGCAAGCCCCACGAGCATGGAATAGTTGCATCGACAAGTATTTTCAAGACAATGGGTTTACTGGTTGTCTCCATGAATATGCTCTTTACCTTAAAGTTCATACTAATGGAGATATCTTGCTTGTTTGTCTTTATGTTGATGATCTTATTTTCACGGCCAGGTTTGTTTGAAGCTTTTAAGAAAGATATGTCTCGTGAGTTCGAGATGACGGACGTAGGGCTCGTGTCATACTACTTGGGCCTAGAAGTGAAGTAGATGGAGGATGGGATTTTTATCTCTCAAGAAAGATATACAAAAGAGAAATTGAAGAAGTTCAACATGCTCGATTGCAACCCCGTGAACACACCGATGGTGAGTGGGAAAAAATTGTCCAAGTTTGATGAAGGAGAAAAAATGGATCCCATATTTTTCAAAAGTCTTGTGGGAAGTTTGAGGTACTTGACTTGTACCAGGCCAGATATACTCTTTGCAGTTGGAGTAGTAAGCTGCTTCATGGAAGCTCCTACCTCCACTCATTTGAAAGTCACTAGAAGAATTCTTCGCTACTTAAAAGGTACGATTGTCTTTGGGCTATTTTATTCTTTTTCTAGTGATTTCAGTCTTATGGGATTTTATGATAGTGATTATGAGGGAGATATTGATGATAGAAAAAGTACAACTGGTTTTGTATTTTTCTTGGGTGATTATGTTATTTCTTGGAGTTCAAAGAAACAATCAATTGTTACTCTCTCGACTTGTGAAGCTGAATACATAGCAGCAACATCATGTACATGTACATGTCATGCTATTTGGCTGAGAAGATTGTTGAAGGAGCTCAATTTGCCACAAATTGAAGCTACGGAGATTTGTATTGACAACAAATTTGCACAGGCACTCGCGGAGAATCCAGTGTATCATGATCGAAGCAAGCATGTAGATACAAGGTATCACTTTATCACAGAAAGCATTGCCAAGAAGGAAGTCGAGCTCAAATATGTGAAGTCACATGATCAAGTTGCGGATATTTTTACCAAACCTCTCAAGTTTGAAGATTTCCAGAGATTGAGATCAAGTCTTGGAATGAAGAAAAAAAAATCAAAATTAAGGGAGTGAGTTGTGGGTCCCTATTGAAATAATTAAAAGAAGAAAGAAACAAGTTGCAATGACAACTTGTTCAAAAACGGCAGAAACAAAAAAAGTTTTAAGTTGCAACAAGCAATTGTG